CAGGGGCAGGTCGGAGCCGGGCACGGAGCTCAGACCCGCTCCGGTGACGCAGGCGCTCGGCTCCCAGAGGAAGGGACCAGGCTGCCGGGCAGCGGCTCAGCGGGGAGCCCGAGCCAGCCATGCGGTGGGGCGCCGCCAGCGGGGCGCAGCCCGGGGCCGAGCCGGGGGCGCCCCGGAGCGCGGCAGGGGCCGCCCGGGGAGCCGCGCTGGCAGCGGCCCCTGAACTGGCAGGAGCCCGCGGGCAGGATGGGCCCCGCCCGGAGCAGGTAACCGGGGCCGGGGCGATGCCGGGGCGGGGCGGGGCGCGGCGCGCAGCGGGTCAGCACCATGGAGAGAGGCGCCGGGTCCGCTCCCTGGCCCCGGCCGCTGGACAGCTCCAGCCTGGAGCGCGGGCCCCGGGGCCGCTGGGTGCGGAGGGGCCGAGCCGGGGCAGCAGCTGGCCGGGCAGGGAGCGGAGCGAGCTGGGGAAAGCCGGGGACGGGCGCTCCGGGGACTCCCGCGGGGCTGCGCCGCGTCCTGCCCCGGCTCCGGCCGCTCGCCGGCGGCTTGTGTCGGGGCTCAAAGTTTCCGGGTTTGCCCCGCTCCGCTGCGCCAGGCTGGGTCCGCCGGGGGGGCTCCGGCCGCTGTCTCCGGGGCCCCTGCCCCCCGTGTCGCCCCGGAGGTCCGCGGACTGCCCGCCGGTGACATGCCGGGGGCTGTGCAGAGCCGGGGTCGCTGGGGACTGGGCCCCTCCAGCTCTCCTCCGCCAAGCGCCGGCGGCCGGCTCCCTTCGCCCCATGGCGCACTGGGGCGGCGCCTCCCCCCGCGCTCCTGCAGGAGCCTGTTGGTGGGTGTGGAGCTGGGCCCCGCGGGGGCCGGGCCGGGCTGTCCCTGCCGGGGGACAGGCCGTGCTCTGGGGGTGCTGAGCCGTGTCTCCTGGCGGGCGCCTGGCTCGGGGCACTGCCCCGGAGAGCGCAGCTTAGACAGGAAGGCGCCAGGGGCCTAAGCTGGTCTCGGGGGCAGCTTCCCTGCGGGACAGGTCTCGCCTCCCTGCACTTACCCTGGAGGCCTTTCCAGAGCCACCAGGTCACAGCTGCGGGACCTGCCCCCACCACCGCACAGGTATATTCCACCCACTCTCTGGGGCTAGCGACAGAGCAGCTGCAGCCCTGAGCTGGGGGGAAGTGGAAAGGTCCCCCACCCCCTGCCATCCCCGGGGGGCGCAGAGAGAGGCGGGGTCCCTCCCTGCCTTGCACACTGCGCCCAGGCCTCGGCAGCCGACAGCCGCCCGGAGGGGGGTGTCAGCCCTGGTCCCTGCATTCAGGCTGGGTCTGGGACTCCCACGGGGGCCTGAGGGAGGCAAGTGCCCAGCTGCCTTGGGCGTCCGCTGGGTGATTTCCCTCCCTGCCGGGGAGCGCTGGGCCTGCCGCACACCCCCCTGAGTGGTGGAGGGGGCACACGCCGAGGCCGGCAGGGACCGCTGGGGTCAGCTAGTCTGGCCGAGCCCTGCCCCCACATACCTCCTAGAGCTCGGCTTGTAGCAAAACATCCCATCGTGACTTTAAAATGACCAGTGATGGAGAATCCACCAGACCCCTGGGAAATGTTCCACTGGCTAATTACTCTCACCAGTAACAACGGGCCCCCTCTTCTTTCCAGCCTGGATTGATCTGGTTCAACGTCCAGCCCTGGGCTCGAGCTGTCTCTTTCTCTGCTAGACTGGAGAGCCCATTATCAAATAGTTGTTCCCCGTGTTGGTCATCAAGTCACCCCTTCACCTCCTCTTCCTTAAGCCAGATCAATAAGGCTCCTTGAGTCTATCGCCCTTGGGCAGGTTTTCTAACCCTCTGACCATTCTTGGAGATCGTCCCTGACCCCTTCCATTTATCACCGTCCTTGAATTGTGGCCCCAGAACTGGACAAGGGATTCCAGCAGCGGTCGCACCAATACAGAGGGGGAATGACCTCTCTGCTGCTACTCACGCGTCCCTTGCTCATGCATCCCCTTTGGCAACACCCGGGGAGCTCACGTTCAGCGGAGTGTTCACCATGACCCTTGCCTCTCGTTCAGTCCCCGCTTCCCAGGAGAGAGTCCCCCAGGCTGTAAGCAGGCCCGGCCTTCCTTGGCCCTAGATGTGTCTCTTTACATTTGGCTGTATGAAAACACGGACGGTTTGCTTGCGCCCAGGTTACCAGAGACCCCACCTGCTCGCCAGTTTTCCAGGTCGCAGGTGTGTGCTAGGAGCAGTGTGCTGGCCAAGCACACCCCCTTGTGGCCCTGCAAGCACACTGTCCCCAGCTACCGCTTGGCTCTTGCAGTGGTTTATTCCCAGACCCACATACTGAGAACAAGTACCCCCCCTTGGATGTAAAACTCCTTTTTACCCCGCCAACCCAACCCTTCTCCCGGGGCCTGGGGTGCTAATTCTGACAGGCCTCTCCTGGATCCAGGAGTCCTTCCGCCCTCCTTCTGGAGCTGGGTTACTAGCCAGCTCCTCCTTCAGCTGCCCCCCACTCCAGGCAGTCCTAAGCAGGACTCCGGCAGCATGTCTGCCCTCCTTCCCAGGCTCGGCTTGGTTGGCTGGGAGCAGTACAAGGCTCCTGGTCCAGTGCTGTTAAAGGAACAAGAGCCTGCCTCCTCTCTCCAAGGACCTGCTTCTGGCATTGCCTGGGCCCTTGTGTACATCCCAACTCCCCAAACCATACAGGGCCTGCCACGCAGCAGGGGCTGGCTGACCCCTCGTCCCTACGTGCCTGACGGGGACAAGCCGCCCGGGTACAGTGCTCGGGCAGGAGGCCCCACTGAAAATCAAGCCGAATCTAGGGGGGGGATTTAGGCACCACTGCAGCCAAGGCCCACACTAGAACCCTGGCAGCAGCTGTTCGGGGTGAGCTGATGAGACCAAAGCCCCAACAGGAAGCGTGTGAGCTGTAGCATTTCTGTTCCCAGGTGCCACCAGCCTTCCTGGGTGAAGGGGCAGTTCTGAGTTCTCTTTGGAGCTCAGGTCAGATGAGGAAGAGACAATGAAACACCAGACATGGGCAGTGGCTCCAGGCGTCTCCAGACATAACTACATGCAGGTGAAGGAGCCAACGGAGCCAATGACATACGCACCTTAACAATACAGTCAGGACCTAGAGGCCCCCCAGGAAAATGAGGGGGGTGCACTATCCCTACAATGTTTGCCCCCGTATCCACTGGAGAGCAGAGGGCGACAAGGTGCCGCGATGACCTGGGGTGTGCGGGCGAGCTTTTATAGGACGGGACTTGCACTGCAGCAGAGAACGCAGCCCTTACCTGTAGGAAGGGAGAATCCAGGAAATGGCACCTTACAATACACAGAGCTGGGGCCTATGGTACCGTGGGATTGGGGACGCAGACATACAGTCCCGAGTTCAGCTGTGGGCAGGATTTCATAAACATTAAGAGTTAGAAACATACGTCAGGCCCAGCTGCTTCTCTTCACAGCTCAAGGTGTGGAAGGGGAGGTGTGCCACACCTGGCTGGCTAGGGATACCTGTGCAGGTGTGAAGCAAACAGGCTGCAAGGCCTGCTGACCATCCAGTGGATGAAGATCCAGGAGACAGTCCATTTCTATGGATTTGGGGTCACCTCCCTCAGGCCCTGCCTTCCTAGGCCCTTTCCCACCTCATCAGCACGGAGCTCAGCTCATCCCTGGTGGTCAGTGAGTCATGCTGAGGGGATGTCCCAGTGTATCCACCTTTTCCTTCCACGCACCCCACATCCCTCCCCGTGAGTCTGGTGCCCACATGCAGGGCAGGGCGCACCTGAGCATTAATACCAGCTCATCATAAGAGGGAGATTTTGGACCAGGTCCTGTAGGCGACAGTGAAACAACCCAAATCCTCTCTGTATTTCACGAGGGCATGTGCTGCCCTCCCACACAGAGACGGATTTACTGCATGGGGCAGCGCAGGTTTACGGGAGGAGCTGCTGGGATGGATTAAAACATCAGGTAAGGATGGGACACGCTCAGCACTGGCAATACGACACTAGTCCAAGGGGCTCGTTTCAATAGGCTTTAGATCAGGCCTGGAGTGATCAGCGTAGGCGCGTGGGGGGAGGGGTCAGCATAGCAGGGCCCTGTCGGAAGGGAATCTACACGCACCGGGCAGGCTCCAGCTCTTAGCACAGTTACCAACGAAGCAAAACTGGGCGAGAGACAGCCAGGATAAGCAGAGAGCAAACCCCTCGGGCGTGGGCGCGGGGCAGCAGTGAGCAATGAGCTAAGGCCTGAGACTCTTCACATGGGCTGAGCGAACAGGAGAGGAAGCACAGTGCCCAGCGGGCCAGCATGAGCCAAGGGCCGGAGCGTGACTAGCAGTGAGAAAGGGGCCGAGGCAAGGCCGACCAAACCCATCTGTGCGGACAGGGAGGAGACCACGCTGCAGAGAACCACACGAGTTTGCCCATCAGGCTCCAGTTCTTCTCCAGGGCCCATCCCCATGGGATCCAGGCGTTTCGGGGACTGAACCAAAGCCATGGTAGGCAATCAAAGTGACCCCAATTGCTGAGCGTCTGAGTGACGGGAGAGATTTTCACAAGCACCTAGAGGATTTAGGAGCGCAAATCGCATTGACTCTCACTGGGCTTCACCCAGGGCTTTCGGGAGCACGGGCCCATTGAAAGTCACTTGTGAAAAATCTCACGGGGTGTGACTAAAGCTCACTCCAAACCAGCGGAAAGTTCCAACCTTTTAACAGCCCCGGTTTTCAATGGAGAACAAATGAGAGCATAAAGCCTCCAGTTTCTCCATCTCAGCTTGGCTGTTCTTGGCCAGGGGCCCGCCCGGTGCGGGGAGCTGCACAGACCAGCCCCTGCCCTGCGGAGAGCTGAAAGGAGCTGCCCGAAGCCAGTGGGACATGCACTGGGAAGCCGGGGAACAGAGCCGATCACCGAGCCAGGCCTTTGAGAGCAGGGGCTGATGCGGATTTCTCTGTTGCTTTAACAGGTGCCAGCTGCCTTTGCCTTTCCCAGCCAATAGACACTGGCCGCTGCGATGGATGAAGCGCCGGAGCTGCGGCCGGACGGGAATTCCCTGCTCAAGGCGGTGTGGCTGGGCAGACTCCGGCTGGCCAGACTCTTGCTGGAAGGTGGGGCCTACATTAATGAAAGCAACGGGAAGGGAGAGACCGCTCTCATGGTGGCCTGCCTCACTGAGCACGTGGACCAGCAGAGCACAAGCAAAGCCCGGATGGTGAAGTACTTGCTGGCTAACAGGGCTGATCCCAACATCCAGGACACATCCGGCAGGACAGCCCTGATGCACGCCTGCCTCCAAGGGGCCGGGGAAGAGGTCGTTTCTCTGCTGCTGGAGAACGGAGCAGACCCGAGCCTAGAAGATCACTCGGGCGCATCTGCTCTGGTTTACGCTGTCAACGCAGATGACAAGGACGCGCTCAAACGTCTCCTGGAAGCCTGCAAAGCCAAGGGGAAGGAGGTGATCATTATAACTATGGACAAGTCCTCGGCAGGTACCAAAGCTACCCAACAATACCTCCACGTCCCGCCCTCGCCAGAGCTGCGGGAGAGGCAGGGCCCGGGCCTGGGCATGACGCCTTCGGAGAGTGAACTGAAAGCGTCCACTTCAGCGGCTGCGAAGGAAGAGCCCTTCTTCCGCTTCCACTCCGCGCCTGCCAGCGGCTGCCAGCCGGCCAAGGCCCTTCACGAGCCCTGGTCTCCTACCAGGAAATCCTGCAATCCCAAAAGAGCCCGTTTGCCACAGCTGAAGAGGCTGCAGTCAGAACCATGGGGCTTGGTTGCACCTTCTGTTCTAGCCTCCGGCGCCCATGCAGCCGAGGCCAAGGTGTGTGCAGATGATGAAATCATCCTGGGCATCAGTGACTTATCGCTCTCCAGAAAGGGTTCCTTCCCCAGGAACTGCAGCAGTAAGAGCAGAGACCTGCCTCTCTTCCCTTTGGTGGACGACCAGGCTCCGAAGATCCCACCAACTTCTGTGCCAGGAGCCAGGAAACCATCCTATGAGAAAGCTCAGCCCCTTGCTCAGCGCGCAGCCAGGAGGAACGCGGTCCCCGCTGAGCCGGAGACCACACCCTGCAAAGACACCCTGCACCGGAGAAGGCTGGGCACGGCGCATTACGATTCGGATTCACAGCTCTACTGCGACTCCAGCTCCGTTCTGGCTGATTCGGGGAAGGTGCTTTTGGAGAGAAAACAGCTCACCGGTTCCCATTTGGCGTTGTTCAACAGCTCCCGGGAATCCCTGGACAGCGCTCCCAGCACTTCTCCTGGGACGGTTCGTCGCAGGCCGCCCAGTTTGCTGGAAAGACGGGGCTCTGGGACTCTCCTGCTCGATCACATTTCTCATACAAGACCAGGGCATTTGCCTCCTTTGAATGTAAACCCCAACCCGCCAATTCCCGACATCGGCTCTAACAGCAAACCGTCTTCCCCGCTCGCTGCGGGCTTCAAACCCCTAGCACCCGCTGCTCCGAGTTCGCCGAGAAGGGCTGACTGGCGAGCCAAAAAGAAGCTGCTTCGGAGACACTCCATGCAGGCTGAGCAGATGAAACAACTCTCCAATTTTGAGGAAATAGTGGCCCAGTAGTTTGTATTTCAGTGGATTTTCCATAAACACGTGCAAAGTCCCTGCTCTCTCGTGCTCCGCACAGTGGGGTCCCTGTGCCTGGCACCCCCTGCTCCAGGAGGGGCAGAGCAGGGTCTGATTCCCACAGCCTTGCACCTTGGGGGGCTGGGCACCGGGGCCAAGCCAGGAGCATTTAACACTCCCGTTGCCCAGCTGTGGAGACACCACCAGGTACAAACCGGGGAATCAGCACCAAGTACTAAAAGTGTTTCTCTGCTACTGCCCCCAGGTCTGGGGTTTGTTCCCAGGATGAATCTGGCGAAGGGTTGATTGTAGAGGACGGTAGTGTGCGACACACGAGACTTCTCCCCAAGGCACATGAGCACCATTCCTTCAATCTCCAGTTCTTTGTCCTTAATCTCGTGTCTTTCCTACCCACACGGAGACAGTCCTGGGATCGCCAGTGCCTGGGGGGCTGGTGTACGTCTCAAGTGCCTACAGAAACCGAGCGGAGCTTCCTGCTGCCAGGAGGAGGAAGAGCCGAGCCCCCCGACACCTGCCCTGAGCCGGAGAAGGGACACAATTCTCTCTGCTTCCCAGAAATTCTAGCACTTTAACAGGCCAGAGAACGGAGCAGAGCCGGTCCTGGTGACACTCCAGTGCAACCAACGGGACTGCATCTGGAGGAGTTTGGCCCGGCACCTTCAGGCGGCCAGGCCATCCCATTGCTTGGTGGGATGCTCTGCTGTGGGCGCTGCCTGGCGGGGGGGGGGGGGGGGGGCAGCGGTCCCCATCTCTGGCTCGTGGGAAGGGCGGGGGCCCAGGCCAGTGCTTAGCAGAGCAGGGCCCATGTATCGGGCCGAGGGCACATGGTGAATTCAGCCGCTTGCTCCGCTCGGGGGAGGTGACTGGCCATTTAAGTCACATGCTGCTGGCTCTGTTCACATCCGTGAGGCTCAGAGGATTCCTACCCTGGGGCCATCCGACCCCGGGCCCCAAAGGGCCCCCCCGACAGCACACAGCCCCCCACCGCTCTTCACACGGGAGGCAGTGGGGAGCCCCTCGCTGGGTTCCCCGGCCAGCTGCAGGGAGGCGAGTGAGGGGCTGCAGGGTCAGGGTCAGGTGACTAGGCAGCAAGGCCCTCACCCTCGGCTTCACTGCGGCTGCATCTAGGGCACAAAGGGGCCTCAAGCCAGTTCAACCCAGAATAGGGGGATCCTCTGGTGACAGCACAGCAGCTCCTGATCTCCCCCTGCTGAGCCCCAGCTGCCACAACAGTCCCTTGGGGCCGCTGGAAGGAGCACAAACTGGAGCAGCCTTCAGGCTGCTCTAACTCATGCTGCGGGACCAGCCTGTTCAAGGCCAGTCCAGGCCTGGGGGAGTGTAAAGATGCCTTGAAGCCAACAGCCCCACCCCTCCGAGCTGCACTGTGAATTCTTCACCTGCAGCCAAGGATCAGGGTGTTTTACTGATCTAGCTACTCCCATCCACTCCCCGAGTGGGGGCTGGAGCTGGTGTCACACTGGTTTGGCAGTTACCTTCCCTGCACCAGAAGCCAAGTCTGGGATCTTCCTAGGGGCAGCCCTTGCCCCCCAGCCCAAAAGCTGAGCTGGGAGGGTAGCAGGGACAGACCTGAGCTAGTGCAGAGCGGGGCTGGAGCTGCAGCTGTGCTGCTGCAGGGGGAGGGGCAGCCAGGGACATCCCTACAAAAGGAGTGCCCCAGAGAGCTGTCCACGCGGCCTATTCCTAGCCTTGACCTTGACCTTGACCGTGGGTACACAGCTGTGTATGTGGTAGAGTCCATGCAGCCGGCTGGGCCCCCATTCTGCTGCCAGCTCTGCACGGGCATCCCGTTACAGGATCGGGGCCAAAATAAATACCAGACGGCAGCTGCAACGTCAGGACAGCAAAGCCGGGGGCAGGTAACCCCATCTCAGCGCTCTGCATTCCCCAGCTCCCGGAAGTGTTTCTCCCCATCTGCTACTGGGGTGGATATGGGTGGGCGAGTGGATTGGTTTGGCCTGTAGGTGCTGAAGCTGTTACTAACCTCAGCTAACCCCCACCCAACCAGCACCTCCGCTGGAGAGGAAACCCAGCCCGAAATCGCATTCTAACCCTGGGCTCGATGGTTTGGATTGTTCATCTCCCTTAAACACGTGTCTCGAGTGGAGAATGGCCACAGGCTTAGATACAGGAACTCCTCACTTAAAGTCCTCCCGGTTAACGTTGTTTCGTTGTTACATTGCTGATCAATTAGGGAACATGCTCGTTTAAAGTTGCGCAATGCTCCCTTCTAACATTGTTTGGCAGCCACCTGGTTTGTCCACTGCTTGCAGGAAGAGCAGCCCCTTGCAGCTAGCTGGTGGGGGCTTGGAACCAGGGTGGACTGACAGCCCCCTATCAGCTCCCCGCTCCCCTAAGAACCCTGTGCTGCAGCCGCCCAACAGACTATCAATCGGCAGTTCAGCTGTCCCTCCCCCCACTGCCATGTGCTGCTCCTGCCCTCTGCCTTGGAGCTGCTCCCAGAGACTCCTGCTTCCTGTGCGGGGGGAGGGGGGACTAATGTCAGGGTGTCCCCCTTCCCCCCTGCTCCTGCACCCCACTTATCCCTTCTCCATATAGAGCAGGGAGGGGACACGGATGGAGAGAGACAGAGAGAGCTTGGGGCAGCAGCTGCTGTCTCAACTTCCTGATCCACTTAAAAAGACAATGCACTTAAGAGTGGGTCAGCTTACTTAAAGGGGCAGTGTGCATCTCTCTCTCTCTCTCCCACACACAAGGTGTGTGTCTGTCTCTGTCTGCTATGCTGTCTCCCCTCCCTCTAGTCGTGCTGCCTTGTAGAGTGTGAGGCTACATTAACAACGTGTTAACCCTTGAGGGCTCAGCCGAGTGCTAGTTCATCATTTAGCAGTAAGGCATTCCCTGGGAAATATCCCACCCTCTTCCACCCTCTGACTTCACCACTTCAACCAAACTTCACAATCATCATTGCTGTGAACAGTATTCAATTGTTTGTTTAAAACGTATAGTGTGTGTTTATCTATATCATATATAGTTTTTTGTCTGGTGAAAAAAATTTCCCTGGAACCTAACCCCGCCTATTTACATTAATTCTTATGGGGAAATTGGATTCACTTAACATTGTTTCGCTTAAAGTCGCATTTTTCAGGAACATAGCGACAACGTTAAGCGAGGAGTTACTGTAATGAACTCAATATCCTGACTCCCGCTGCCAGCCCAGCGGTTCCTGGCACGCAGCTCACTGCCACCTCGGGCTCTATGTCCGTGTGTCCTCGCCCAGACCAGCCAAATGACACATTTCATTTAATCCCCTCATGCAGCTCTCCTGGTGATGCTCGTACCTTCCCCAGTGCACTAGCTGGTCTCTAGACTGTTGCAAAACCTTGCAAGGTTCCTGCCCAAAGCAGCCTTGATCTGTGGTTTCAATTGCACAAGAACATTCTTTCAAAGTGCATTTTAGATTTCAATACGCTGATTAGATCAAAGGCGAGCTTACATTTTTAGAGCCTTAAGGTTTATACCTACTGTAAGTCAAATGTCTTCTCTATGGAACTTTAGGCATATTTTCCCTGTTGGAATGAAGTGTCTGTTGAAATATATTTTAGACTGCAGATTTAAAGCCTATAGTTCGCCACTTCTGTTCATTCCTAGATATTCCAATAGCTTTTTTTTTTTTCTGACAGTGAATGTCCTTCGCCACTGATTTAGGACAAAGGTGCCCTGCAGAATGCAGGTGATAGATATGCTTTGAGCTTCCTGCGTAAGGTACATTGGGATTGGAAATGGGACACGTTCTCCTTTAGCATAACATATTGTAATGCTGTTTGTTCACATTTTAAAGTGTGCGTTCACGTGTGCAGAGATGTTGGAAGATACTGTGTGATGGTTTAGACTTTATTACCTTGTCACATTAATAAACAGTGTAATATTCCTCTGAACTACACCACTCTTTCCCCGAGTTTATAAATGAAACATGCCTGTAGGGCCAGTTAGCCACTGGTGGGCGGGGGGCATCTTCCCCCTCCCCCAGGAAATCAGCTCAGTGTTATTCAGTGGAACTCATCCTGTAGGACAGCTGGGAAGTTAAGGTAAATTAAGGCTGCAAAGGAGAATTTTGTACTGAACTGAAACATCAGGTGGGATTTAGAGTGACCCAGGGCCAAATGCTGCTCTCAGAGTGTATTATCCACACTGTAATTTGGCGAGAGCATCAGGGCTGATACTCCGAACGCTTCCTCTCCTGTGAAGGTACCAGGGCACCACGGCTGGTGGCCAGAGCTCTGGTTTGACACCCATGGTGCTTCCATCTAGAGTTGGCTGCAAAATGACATTGGAGCCAGGACAGGCACCGCGCCCCCTAGCCCCGCGCTGGCGGCTCAGTGCTGACGCCAAGGCCAAGCACCCCCTGCCCAATGCCCAGGGCCACTTCCATCCCCCACGCGCCCCGTCCCCCTGACCGAGCCAACTCCCCTGGCCCTGCGGAGCCCCTGCCTTTCCCACAGCGCGTGGGCAAGGGAGCAAAGGGCCGAGGCAGGTGGCAGCTCTGCTGTTGCAATACCCACTGGGTCGCTGCCCATCACAGCAGCCTGGGCCAGGCCCACCGGCCTGAAGGCCTAACCCAAAGCCAAGCCAAGTCGATGGGAGTCTTTCCCCCGACTTCCCCGGCGCTTGGCTCAGGCCTGCGGGCCGAAGGGAAGGGGGTGGAGGCATCGCCTTCCTAAAGCGCGGGGTGAGGGCTCTGGCCTGTCTCATCAGCTTATGTCCTTGCCCGTCTATTAGTGTTCAAACCGAGCAGATGGTTCCTTTAGCCCGAAGACAGCCATGGACCACCTGGGCCAGTTACCAACTCTCACCCGTTCCCATCCCAGGGCACAGCCACTCCACGGGGTCTCGGGAATTCCCAGCAGGACTTTGCTGTTTGCTTAATGTTCTCACTTGCCGTCTGCCCCCACCTCACCCCCTCGCAGTGAAGGGCGGCACCATTTCCACGCGGGAGGGAG